ATGACTTAGCTATAAATCATTTCTGAACTTCTAAGATTCAACTGAGAACAAATACCCCAACTGAAAGCTCTTCTGTATCAAGTGCTTAAGCAAAATAAGCTAGAATTTCCATGGAAACAGCCTGGAATTCTCAACGGAGGAGAGAGGACAAAAGCAAGCATGAAAATGCATTTATTTATTTTTTAGTTTCTTTTCACCTCTGCCCCTCCAAACCTCAGAATGCCAACTTAATGAATGCTTTCAAGCCTCAGAGGGAATTAAGAAGAACGATATTTGACAGGAGTGAGGAAGGAACTAAATATAGTTCCTCTGTAAGAGAAATGTATTCCACAGTCTTCTCTCTTCTTCCTTCCCCTATCTGAGCAATCACCCCATCTTTTGATGTTATTTTTTGTGTTGCCCTTGTTGTACAGTAAGTTTAGCTATTACTTGGCTGGGACAGAAAAAAGATAACCCCACAAGATACAAGTTTGTCCTCTTTGGAAAAGTCACTTAATACAAGATACTTGAGATCAATTTCCAAATTAAGATTGTGCGTATTCCTTATAATTTCCATTTGCCTGCTATAGAATTTCTAAAATGTTCTCATAAAATTAATTCATTTAACCAGTATAATCTGAGAGGTAAGTATAGTCACTATGTTGGGAACTATCAACTCACATTTTACCAGGGTAGCAGGGTTCAAAATCACTGCGCTGGTGAGTAAAGGACAGCCAGCTCTTTGGGTCGCAGACCCATTGCTTTTCTAACTCTACAAATACAACTAGCCTTTCCGACCAATGCAAACATTATGTCCAGGCTACTTTCCCCTCTTTGTTAGGTATTAAGAACTTTATTTTTAGAAATATATGCTTTAGCACTATAACATAAAAACTTCCCCCTCTCTACAACTGCTAATACTGATATTATATAGATCAGGAAATACTCAAAGAAAGGTACAGCCTCTGGCTTTCCTGGGTATGGCTATTTTTGACAAGCTTTCCCCAGAAATGTCTGACTTATTTTTAATTGACAAGTCAAAGAATGTTTCATTTTAAAGTTCAACAATCAATGTATGGCTTATTGAGAACAAAAGTGACCTTGCATAGATCTGAACAGTTAAATGCAGAGCATGTTCTTTGACATAAAATCATCATTGATGCATTGAATGAATTAAATAGCTTAGAAATTATTTTACCAATCCAAGATAATACATTGGGGTACAATAATCTCTCTCCCTAGGGAAAAGCTGGTATCATTTTTCTTTGGAAAATTAAAGGCACTTAATATTTGAGATTGTGATGACTCTAAAGATAGTTATCGTAAAGCAGCAAGTATGATAGAATCTGTTATCAAAACTTTCTGCTGTTTATAATTTTTGAAAACTGATGGACTTAGTAAAAGATATGTCATAGATTTGGGAAATATTAAGACCAGCAAGCAATCCTTTCCATAATTAAGATAACATACTATATACACTTTAAAACAATTAATTTGACAGTCATTTGATGTTCTAATATTCACCTTAGTAGGAATTGCCATGTCAGAGTGGAAAAAATTTTAAAAATGGTAATGTCTTACTAGGTGACTTCCTTTTTTGTTAGTTATCACTACCAGGCATTACAACTGCTACTAATGATCATTTACCTAGGGCTTACCATATATTTGGCTCTGTGCCAAGTACAGTCGAACCTCATTTCTTGAATGACTACCATCTTGGACAATTTGGTTTTTGACCAAGTTGTTCACAGAAAAAAAATACCTTGGTTGTCAAGCAAAACTTTGGTTCTTGATGCAACACCCTTTTTATGCTGATACCTGTATGACCAGTCATGCATCTCTCAGGTGACAAAAGAAAGAATGTATATGAGTATGAGTCATTTTACTGCTAAATCTCACTTGTTAATATCTCAGGAAATTGTGCTGTGAATATATTCATGTTTTCTTGCTTTTGTTTCTGCTTATTATTATTAAATTATGTACAGTAAGTCACCATGGATCCTAAGAAGGTTAGTGATAGCAGCAAAGTGAAAAGGAAAGTTGTGAGAACAATGATGGAGCTTAAAAAGAAATAATTACAAAATATGATAGAGGTGTTCACATGTCTGATACGGCTACCAAATATGGCATGGCGAAATTGATGATTAGCACAATTTTAAAACATAAAGAGGCCATCAAGAGTGCTGTTGTTGCTAAGGGTGTAAAAATGCTCATGAAACAACCATCAGGCAACTGAGAAAGGTTAAAACAGGGAATCATTTGAGGGTCTGGAATAGATTAATTCAATTTACATTATTTCTAATGGGGGGAAAATGATTTGGTTTTCGAACATATCGCTTCTCAAACAGCCTTCCGGAACTTGTAGTTGATATCTAATTAATATTCAAATAACCATGTGAGACAGGTATTACTCCCAATATTATAGATAAGAAATAAATAAAAACCTCATCCGAAGAACAAATTACAAAAAGCAACTTGTTCCACTCTGGCTGTGTAGGTCAGTTGGTTAGAGTGTCATCTCAATACTCCAAGGTTGCAGTTTAGATTCCCATCAGGTCACATACAAGAATCAACCAATGAATGCATAAATAAGTGGAACAACAAATCTCTCTCTCTCTCTCTCTCTCTCTCTCT